CCAAATTTAGACCAATTACGTAACTTAAAAACAATTCAACTGTGGTACTGCTTGGACTACTTTAAAAGTGTAAGAAGCCATGCTCAGTTACAGTACTGCTCTCTATCACATACTGAAACAGAGCCCACTCAAGTGCTTTCAACCAATTTGTTTGATTCAGCATTTGTTTAATGTGAACAACATTTTTGTTAGTTTTAGGTATTTCCAAACTGGACTTAAAATACCAATGACCAATATTTTTATGAAAGCAGATATACAGAAAGAGTTGGTTTGCTGAGAGAAATGGTAACACAGTAAGCAAGCTCTCAGCTTCAGCAGCAGCCCCCAAATTTTCCAAAAAACATCATAAGTTCAAAATGTACAAAATATTGAAGTTTTTCCCTTGTTATACTCTTGACTGTTTTCTCAGCAATTCTCCTTATTCATACCTACCTCCTAGCAGTAGTATTTCTCTTCACTAATACCCATCTCCAATGAGTGCTCTGTTTTACATTGCATCTAGGAAGATGTACTCATCCTCCTGATAGGAAAACATTCTTTTTTCTTACTACTGATGGCACGCATGGCTGTACATTTCTTCTCCTAGTACACCATCTCTTCCCCAGTATATGAAGTCCTATTAAAATACTTCTTCACTGACAGATGCACTGATGAGCTAACATCAGAACAGCAGTGAGTATAACATGGACTAGCCATGTTTCTGCATAAAATTCATCCAGATGTAATTGCTGACAACAATTTCTCCAGCTGCCATATCCAGGACACCAAAAACAGTGCCTTCTTTGTCACTCACTCTGCACTCCTGCTAAATTTCTCTTTGTGTTAATTGCAGCAAAATTCATCACTTCCTTTCCCTGCATAGCTATCATTTTCTTTATCGTCTGCTCTCTGCACGTAGAACAGATCAACTTCTCCCACTGCTTTCCTCACTTCATCCAACTGCCATTACAGCACCCTAGCTTCAATTCCTCCCTAACTCTTGCTATTAAGAGTTCTAATATCTCATCTTTAGATTCTATTTCTTTGTCTCCTTTTCTTGCTTTCTCATCTTATTTTTCAAAACTATATTTTTGTGCTCCCTAACGCCTGCCTCTATGGCTGGAAGTGATTCCTATGCTAATTCCTCCCACTGCACTCAAGAACAAGCCCCCCATGTTACCACACTGCCTTTTCCATCCAGCTGCTTCATCTCACGTTTGAACTTTACATTGTTTAACCTGTGACCCCAGTGAACAACTTGTTAATGTTAACATTTCCCATTTCGTGAGTACAACACCATACATGACATTAAACAAGGCTAAGTGCTGGGTCCTGCACTTGGGTCAAAGCTTGGAGAAGAGTGGCTGGAAAGCTGTCTAATAGAAAGGGATCTGGAGGTATTACTTGACAGCAGGCTGAACATGAAACAGCAGCATGCCCAGGTGCAAGAAGGTGAATGGTATCCTGACTTGTATCAGAAATAATGTGGCCAGTAGGTCCGTCTCCGTACTCAGCTTCCATGGGAGTGCACTTCAAGAGCCATCTTCAGTTTGGGGCCTCAGTGACAAGCAGATATTGAGTTGAGAATAACAGAGAAGAACAACAAAGCTGGTGAAGGGTTTTAGAAATGAGAGTTACAAGGAGTGGCTGATGGAACTTTGGTTGTTTAGTTTGGAGAAAAGGAGACTGAGGAGAGACCTCGTCACTCTCCACAAACACCTGAAAGGAGGTTGCAGTGAGGTCTCTTTACTTAGGTAACAAGGGATAGGAGGTGAGGAAACAGCCTCACATCACACCCAGGTTAGGTTTAGATTGGATATCAGGAAGAATTTACTCATGAAAGGGTGGTCAGGCGTGGCTTAGTAATGGGACTCGGTAGGTCAGACCGATGGATGCACTTGATGATCTTCAAAGCCTTTTCCAACATAAATGATTGCATTCAAATAAAGCAGAAATCACAGAACAAAGCAAAGTTAGTCTTTGACACAAGGAGGCACATTTGACTTTCAAGTGCAAGAATATAAATAAAACTCAGTTTCTTTCTGGTAAGAGCAAAAAACCCTTTTTATAGTTCAGTATATGCTAAGAAGCATTTTCTCTTGGTAAACATTCCAATAACAATGTATCAGTTTTCCAATAAATTTCTCAAACTTTTATAACAAGATGTCCTAGCCCAGGTTAATCTCTTTTTTTTTTTTTTAAACTTTTAAACTGAATTCATACTTTGTTTGAGGACAAAAATGCCAATTTTTTTCTTCAACTTCAAAGCAATAACTCAAATGTCAAGCTGTTCACCATTAAGTATGCCATAACTGTTTTGAAATATAAGAACTATAGGTATTAATCATGGGTGCTCATTTATTACTACCATCATCATTTCCAGATAAAAATAACTGACGAGATTACATTTCACTTTCCACCTTTTGTTGGAATCTCAGGGTTCCTTTTGATCTCAAATTATCCATGAAGGGTTATCCTATATGTTCACCACCAATGCATCACTTACAATCCTAGAAATGTCTTGACTTTAACAAGTGCAATCCAAAATAGAACTTGAAAGGCTCCGTTCTGCTGTGTGGTCCCCAGCACAGACTGCTACTGCAGGTCTGTAATGGGGTATCACAAATGTCAGTTCTTAGACAAGTTACAAGTTAAAAATTTCCAAACCCACATCTTCAACCATGTTACGGGTCAGGTATATTAATTTATTTCTACAAAACTTCATCTGACTTCCAGAAAGCTCAGATGTTGATTTTAGGCTGCATATTAAGTATTCCCATAAAAATCCAGTCCTTAGGTGTTTTGTTCCAATAGATTCAATCCAGCAGAAAGCTACCTTAAGAAACTGCTTCCATTCAAATTTTCCACAAAGCACATATAGTATTAACAAGTCATTAAAAATAAGTTGGTAATCATAGATTTGATGGTTCTTATGTTTTTTAATGTCATTTTATTGTGCAGTCAGAAAATACAACCTGGGAGTTCAGGGTCACATAAATCTATAATTACTGGATTAGTTACAATTAGTCATGACACTTATGTAGCTCAAGATGAAAAAAATAAAAAATAATAAAAAAAAAATCAACGAAGATGTTATTGCCCAGAACAAGAGTTCCTCTGCCTCCTGCCTTCCACTCCATAACAGCAGCCATATACATGTCTTTAATATACCTGTGCCCATTTCACTACATTAGTTCATCTCTAGCACAAACTGTTGACCATTGCCAATAGAACAGTAAGAAGAAATTTCTATTTTAGAAGTCCTAGTATTGCTATCAAAATTCACTGAATCCATAGCCAAGATAAATGCTTATAAGATAATTGCTTATAATAAGCAATAAAACTAATTACAATTACCTCCTCTAACTAGACAAAAGCACTCATGACGAATCACACAATTACTGTTGCTCAGGCTGCAAAACATACTTTAGCAAATATGAAACAAAACAATGTAGTGTGTTTAGTCCAAAGAACACCTTGCTAGGCCTTGACGATAGTATTACAGAATGCAGGAGTCACTTCACATTCCAGTTACATTTTGCATTTTCATTACCTAAAGGTTAGCTTAAGTCACATTATGCTCCAGCTCTGAAATGTGGATAACAGCATTAATAAGTGCAGCTTGCCAGCTTTCAGAACATGCTGCAATCTAGAGATAACAAATATTTTAAAGGCATTGTAAAGTTATGAGTAAATCTTAACCAAGCATGTAAAGTTCTCAACCAAAGACAAGCAACGCAGGTAGGCAAACATTCACAGTGATTACACAGCTTGCTAACGAGGAAAGTACATCAAGATCAAGGGCAATTTATAGGGCAAATCCTTGGCTGTCCAAAGTTCAAACACATGTGACTAAAATAAACCATTATGCTGAACACAACACTCATGGAATCAAACAGCCTCTTTAAAATAGAATTATATTTGTTGACTTTTCCTTTATAACTGTTGAACTGCCCAAGTGAGCTGTTGGGGTATCACAGTTTAAGAGCTGCAAACATAGTGATACCTTTCTCAGATTAGGGACACTCAGAGTGTTGCTGTTAAGCACACCTATTTTGTCCTTCTTTTGAAAAGTCTGCTCCCAATGAATGATGACATGACCACCAGCACGTCCTGAACAAAAAGCTTCTACACAGTTGTTGCTCTTGGTTCAAAGAAAAACTCAAACTTTTCAATATTAAGTTACCCTTGTAGGAATTCAATGTCACATTAGCATGTTATTGAGGGTCTGAACATAGAATTATATTTATTTCAAGAAAATAGTTAGTCTCCTCCTCAAATTAGAAACAACTTTACAAAGAAAAGGAATCTTCAAGGATAGGGTATGAACCAACACAGCTACAGAAGATAAAAACAGTAGTTGAAATCAATATAATTCATGGTGAGAATTAAATTACTCTCTTCTGAAGTCTGTGAACCCTCGTCATGGCTATTTCAGGACAGGCCAAGAAGCAATTCCTGTCTAAAAGAATTTTTTTTACACATCTAAATTTGAGAGGGAATTCTAACACAGTTTGTAAATGCATTTATTTATATGGGTAGGATATTTACTTGGTAGGACATTGTAACATCATCTCTTTCTGAATGTCTTCCAAGAATCCTCAGAATTACAACTGTCACCAACAGTGACTTACCAGGATGGAAGAGAAAGTATCGGTGTTATCACTCTGATCTGTGCTGCAAGAAATTGCCTTTGCCTCAACACTTCTATTAATGAATCTTCAAAGTCTGCATGATTCCCTCAAAGCCCCAGTAAAGTTCTAGGTTGATTAGCTAATTATTTTGGCATAATACAGTCATTCCTAAAGTATGATCGTGTAATACAGGTACATTTTTAGAAAAAGTTAAGGTACAAAGTATGAATTTAGATAAATTTACTACTGCTATTTTTTTCATGAGAAAAAACCAAACTGACACAACCATCTGGTAAATATTTTTGTATGCACAGCATTTGATAGCGGTTTCAAAAACAATTCCAATGATCTCACACATTTTTACCATTTGAATAAAGGATTACTTACTTGATTTGCCATGTAAATTGTGAGGAGACCTCTCCTATAAACAGAAATGATAAAATCAGTGAACAAATCAAACATTTTGTCAATCAAAGAAATGTACCTTAAGCATCTGAACATCTTACTAAAGAAGAGAGTTTAGTAAGTGGTTTAATGATGGGGGATGAATCATTATCATCCTGCAGGAAAACAGATATGAAACCAAAAATAGCACCTCCATAGCACAGAATCAAAGCAGAGAGGAATTACATGGACCAAGTTACTATGTATAACTTGTACTGCATGAGCCTTGAAGCTGTCACGCAGGGAGAGGCAAGGCACCTTGGGTTCCACAGCACGTACCAGGACTAAAAGCCTGTGCAGGAAATGATAATGTAAGCGTACAAACCACAGCCAAAGTTAAACTGGGAATTTACAGAAACTGCTTCTGTGTAAACTTTTACCTGGGGTAAGTGTGGTGTCATCTGAGATGCCATTCTGCTTATATTCTCCTCATACTCTCACAAAAAGTGTTTTCTACTGAAATGGACAATGCAGATGTCATGGCACAAAGCAGCATGCCCACCTGTTCCAGCTGAGAGCCATAGTGCCAACACTGCCACTGCTTTTTCCTCTACAAACCTTCACCAAGTTTCTTCTTTGTTCCCCTTCTATTGTACGATGCCTCACACCACATGATGCCACTAGCTGGATGTTAAAAACATAAATCTGGGCTCATGCTGCCCCACATTTCCAGTACAAGACCAAATAGTGAGCTCTGGCTACATTGATGTGAGCTGCTGCAGCAGCAGATTCTATCAGACGTTTCCAAAAGGTCCAGCTGTCAGAAATATAGTTATTTTCTGTATGTCATTCACCAGTCAGTGAGCTTTGAGAAAGGTTTTGCACTTACAACTACAGATTTCCTTTGCTCTTGTTTGTCTTCTCTCTTCTACAGAGATTAGCTTTTACAGTTTACAGGCACAATGTCAGCATTTCTTACCTGACTATTGCCCATAGCATCTTGATTTTACTATCAGCCTTGGAGAATTCGGGATTTTTTGCATTGCTCCCAGTGCTGCTACACACCAATTCCAAAATCACAACAGCACTATATGTTTAATTATTCATATGGAAATGAGTTTATAACCTGAATTCATCTGTCTTCACATCATTCTGGTTTGGTTTTCTTTGTTTTGATGTGACAACATGAAAGGTCCAACCCAGGTTTGTAGGTATGTCACAGTTTTAAGTTTTGAGCATTCATGGGGTGCTTAACAGAACTGTATGTTCACAAAACAACCTGCAATCACTGCAATTGCACAAGTAAGAGAATCAAAATCACAGGCAGCCAGAAACCAAAAACCTAAAGACCTGGTGAAGTTAGAAGAAACAAAAAGACAGGGAATATATCCACAAGTGTTAAAGCAATTAGACTTCTATACCTCATAACAAAGGATCAAAATCCTGCATGCTGCTTCTGACCAGGGCGAGTGAAAATTCACTTTGGATGTTAACTGAATTGAACTCGAGTTGGTCCACAAACAACCACTGCATTTTGCAGCCAGTTTGCTCAGCTGATTAAATACCACTGTTGTGTCATTGCTCCCAATTATGTACATTTTTTTAGTTTGTTCTCACAGAGGACAAAAAAAAGGATATTTGATGTTTCTTGGGGTTCGTTGTTGTTTGTTTTTTTTTCCCCTTTTCCTGCACAAGTATAAAAAGCTTGGGATAAATTAAATGTACAAACAAGTGTTTGGAAACAGCATTAAATTTACACATGACAGCTATCCTGCCAACTCAACGCACTCTGAGCCTTTTGGAAAACATCAGAACTGCAGTTCAACCTGTAGTAACATACTAACCCAGAAGCAGCTTCCACCTGCGACAGATGCAGCTTTCAGAGCATAGTGTGTATACTGACGACTGTTACTATGTGAGTAGCATGGTGATAACTTGGTGGATTCCCTCCTGCAGCATCTGTATCACACGGGCAGAGATGACATGCAGATGGAGTGGCGTTGGCCTCCCACATAAAAAAAATAAATCAAATGGAAGTACTAAAAAACTAGGAACTCTATCTGTCAAAGCTTTAGCTTCCCTTATGGTCCCCTCTCGGCCAAATGTAAAGCATGACCTGCAAAGACAAAGAAAGGAAAAGGGGCTAGAAGAGAGGAAGGAAAGAAACAAGAAGCTGCACTGCAGCTGTAGTGAAACTGATACAGAAAGGAGGTGGTCAGGAGGAGGGAAAACACTCACACACAATGAAAGTGCCCAAGGAAGTAACTCCTGGAGCTGGAAGTACAGAAAGCTGCTAGATGACATCATCTGTAAATGCCTGCAGCAAACCTGCCTGCTGAACTCTAAGCAGAAATAGGTTGCTGTTTTTCTCAAACTCATTCTGTGGCTACTATAGCAGTGAACATCCCCATGTTTCTACAAAAAAAAAAAAAAAAAAAAAAAAAAAAAGGTTCTTCCCAGCCTTGTGCAAATGTGATCCAGCAAACTTAACCCAACTGTGAACTCCACTGGTAAAAAACAGGTGGAAGTTCAGAAAGTGTTGCACTACTTTGTAAAAATGGCAGCTGATGAAAAACAGGACTGAAAGATGGAGTTATCCCAAGCTAAAGGGTCATTGATACAACCAAGGACTGCTTTAAAGCTGCAACTGGTAAATAAGAGGCATGTACAACTGGGAAACAGTATTACAAGTGCTGGAAATAATTAAGTAACAATAATTAGCCAGCCATGTATAATCACCTGCTCTGGAAGGCTTAAAGACAGCTAACACTTCATCCATACCCGCTCTCTTGTTCTCCCCAAGACCTTTGCCTTAGCTTCCCATTGCCTCCCTTCCACTGATAAAATTTCCCATAGCGTACACAGTCCCCAGTGACACACAGAATCTTTTATTTGGAGAAAGTGGGGGGAAACAATTAATGGAAGGTTGACAAGGTTAGCCAAGGCTGAACTAGAGCATACTTAAGACAGCATCCAAGAGAGCTGCACCTGTATTCTTATATATTATAGAACAAAAAACGCAATGTCTCCAAGTGCAGTCATCCAAGACACCTCACATCATCTGTGGATGAACAGTTTTCTATAAATCTGTTCCATTCTTAATGTTTAAATGACAGGCCATATGCTTCCCAGATAATTCGCCTGTTCATTTGATAGGACGAGGGGGAATGGTTTTAAACTGAGACGGGGGAGGTTTAGGTTAGATATTAGGAGGAAGTTTTTCACTCAGAGGTGGTGACACATTGGAACAGGCTGCCCAAGGAGGCTGTGGATGCCCCATCCCTGGAGGCATTCAAGGCCAGGCTGGATGTGGCTCTGGGCAGCCTGGTCTGGTGGTTGGCGACCCTGCACATAGCAGGAGGTTGGAACTGGATGATCATTGTGGTCCTTTTCAACCCAGGCCATTCTGTGATTCTATGATTTACCCCTCAAAGAAAGGTTTCACTAAGTATAACTTGCTTTTTGAACACCTTGTTAGCATTCAGACCAAATTCAAACAGCAATAGCTCTTCAACTCTGGTCTATAAAGCTCAAAGAACAACACATTCCTGTGACTGTTCTGCTCAGAGGAAAGAGACAAAAATAACTCCACAAAGTTTTTTTTTTTTTTTTTAAAAAAAAAGAAAGCTATAGGACAAAAATAGCAAAGAAGCCTAGCAGCACACAGGGCTGTACTACCAGAAGTGTAGGTAGGAGGTCAAGGGAAGAGATCAGTTCCTTTTACAGGTGGCCATTAGGCATCCCTGGACCACAACAGACATCCACAAGTTGAGGGCAGGGCACCAGTTACAGGGGTTTCTTGGGTACAAAACTGAGAGCCTCTTCACCTTTTGAATCGTCTTCTCTAAGATTTTAAACACACACAGCTCTCTTCAGAGCTCATTTTCAAGGACTAGAAATGAAAGTACAGGAAATTAGAAAGCAGATTAAAGATTTCCACTTCTTTGTTTAATCAAGAGAATTGTAAAATCAAAAGAAATCACAAAGCACCAGTTTCAACCTTTGAACTCATCTTTCCGTGAGCAAGGTACTTACACTTTTCTATAAGAGTGTTCAAGAAGCTTTTAGCTGTAGTAAGAGACATGGTTTAGTGGGGAAACACTGGTAGCAGGTGGGTGGTTGGACTAGATGATCTTGGAGGTCTTTTCCAACTTCATTGATCCAGCGATTCTAAGTGCTATAAATTCTGGAAAACACTGATTGAGGCCAAATTCCAGTTCCCCTAATGCAGGAGGTTGAGGCCCTGCTCACGCCAGCAGGAGCAATCACCAATGTCCAATTCTGCACCACAATATGTTGTCTGTGTGAAAGCTTGCTAAAGAATATTCTCTGGCTTGGCTTGACACATTATAAAACTCAAATAATAACTTGACTATCACAAGTAATATGATCTTTTCTTTAACATAATAGCAAGTCATATTAATTTTTAAAACACAACAAGGAATATTTTTTTTTCATACAAAACGCACAGCCAGTTCTCTCTCCTTATCTATGGTTTGACTTCTATGATCTTTAAGCTATTTCTCATCAATATTCATTGAGAACTTCTTGCCTTGCTCTCTCCAACTTCATAAACCAAATACACAGCATTTCAGTCAAGTGGTTTCCTCATTAAGAACTTTTTTTTTACAATATAAAGTTCAAAACATTGGTTTCTCTATTGAATCACAGGATCATTAAGGTTGGAAAAGACGTCTAAGACCACTTAGTCCAACCATGAGCTCATGACCTCTAAGTTCATGCAGTCCAACTGTCAACCCACCCCCACCATGCCCAACAGCAGCAGAGTGTTAAAAATCTTGATGCACGCAATTAACAGCATGAGTTCTCTGCCTAAGCAGCCTCGCCAATGGGTTGTGTTTGTCCCCGTATATAGTAAATTTAAAAAGCTAGGGAATAATAAGAATGCCCAACTGTTGCTAAGACAAGCATTGTTTGAGCTTGTTCACAAAGCTTTTGAACTCACTGTCTGCTTCAAAACATCACACTCCTGATATTTCAGTCTTGCACTTTGCTCCTCCAAGAATTCCTACTGTT